AGTAGAGAGTATGAAGATGTAACGAAAGCCATGATTCAGGATGGCAATGTTGATACAATACAGGAGAAAAAAGGGCCAATTGAGTTTAGTGAAATTGCTAAAGGCATTTCCCTCCCATTAAGTGAGCCTAAGTCAGAATCGGAACGAGAGGATGACAGAAGGTTAATACTAGTAGAGGGTGCCCCAGGCGTAGGAAAGTCTACATTTGCTTGGGAGTTTTGTAGGAGGTGGTTAAAGGGAAAGGTGGCTAAGCAGTATCATCTGGTTCTTCTACTCAGGCTGAGAGACAAGGGAACCAGAAATGCAAGATGTTTGCAGCACTTGATATCTCATCCTTTGCCTGGTGTGTCTGAAGCTGTCTGTCATGAGCTTGTGGCTTCTCACACTTTTCATGCCCTCATCATTCTAGAAGGGTATGACGAGCTTCCCGATAGTCAACGCAATGACCCTTCTTCGATTTTCAATCAGCTTGTTTCTGGAGAGTTGCTGCCTCTTGCCACTGTCCTAGTCACCAGTCGACCATGGGCCACAAGGGATATACGCAAGAACCATGAATGTCATATGTACCAGCATATTGAGGTTCTGGGCTTTACCAAACGTCAGATAACTGAGTACATCAAAAAGACTGTCCCTAAGGACCAGGTGAGTGATCTCAATTCTTACCTGGAGAGACATCCTCAGATCAAAAGTGGCATGTACATTCCTCTAAACAGCGCCATTGTTGTGGCTGTGTACATAGCAAGTAAGGCTGATCAGCATCCAATGCCAAACACACTAACTGAGCTCTACACTTCAGTAATAAACATATCAATAAGGCGACATCTTGAAGGTCATCCGGAGCTGGATAGAAAAAGTACACAGAGATTGCCTGCCATTAATATCTCTGTTCCCTGTGAGGTGCGCGGAAATTTTGTTAGTCTGTGCAGACTGGCCTTTGATGGAATGGTAGGTGAAAGAGATGAAGTGAGATTGATCTTCAGCGAGTCTGAACTTCCACCAAGCTTTGACAATCTTGGGTTAATGGACTCAGTCACTGAGCTCTATGTGACTGGAGAGACTTCTTCGTCTCACAACTTCCTTCATCTCACATTCCAGGAATTCTTTGCAGCAGTTCACATTTCTACTTTACCTCCACAAGAAAAACTGGAGTACTTCAAGAGGGGTTCTGTTGAAAATGATGGCAAATTGAAAGTCATCCTGAAGTTTCTGGCAGGTCTGCAGAATTTGGATTGTATTACCAATGAAACAGTTACCAGCATTATTAAATCTGTTGTACCTGAAGTTTATAGCAAATATCGTATGCATGCTGACATTGAAGTGGACATTGCTATTGTCAACTGGATGTATGAGGCCCAGAGTGACAACATTGTATCTATAATGCTAGGAGAAAAAAGAGTTAGATTCAAAGCTGACAAGGATGAAATGTTACCAATGGACTACTACTCTCTTGGTTACTGCATATCCCACAGCAAGTGTCAGTGGTTGCTGTCTCTGACAGGAAAGAGGGGTTTAAGTAAGGAGAAGATTACAATGCTTTGTAAAGGAACCGCTGGCTCAGTTAAAGGTAATGTAATAGGACTACATTATGTGTCGGAATACCAAAACACCAATTTTGAATTGTTTTTCCTTGAGCTTCAAAGTGTTCTTAATCTTCATCAGCTATCCTTGAAGCTAGGCCTGCAGGAGAATGATGTGTCATGTCCAAACTTCCCTACATTGAATGTACTTGAAATAGACTTTTATTCCCAAATGGGGAATATTTATCTTCCAGTGTCGCTTTGTTCTCTCACAATTAATTGTGTAACTCTTGAAGAAAAGGAGAGTCAAACTATTGCAGATTATGTATCCTCAACAACCTGTCTCAAGGAACTGAAAATGAATTTTTGCTCTGATAAAAGGAAAATGGAGCCTATTCTTAGAGCAATGGCCAGTAACAACTTATTGCCACTTGAAAAAGTAGAATTAAAATGTGAGAGATGTCAAATAAATAAAAAAGCTTATGAATATCTGCTCACATTTATAAAGAAAAGTACTACACTGCAGCACTTTTCAATGTTGTCTTCTGAAATTACTGTACATAAACTACAGGAATTATTACATTCTGTTAACCGCGATTTTACACTTCAAAACAAGTTATTGGAAAACCTAGGGCTTGAAGTTGCCGATGACCTAAAGCTACTTACCAATTATATTCAAATGTTAAAACATACCGTTTATAAACCTGATTTGAAGGATAAAATGCTCTACTTTTAACAACTAGCATTGCACCAAGAAAAAGATATCTTCAGCGCACCTGATCTAAAAAACAATGAATCTGCCCTTCATGATAACTCTGCCATGACCAATCTACCATTGTGTTATGCTTTTGCTACCGACTTGGCTGATGCCCTTTCCCTCAACAGTACTCTTGAGAGTTTTACACTGTCTGATCACGAATCCCGAGATGCTGAAACTGGTTCTGTACTCCAGGCCTTCAAACGTGACTCCAACACTGTAAAGTTTATCCTCTCGCATACGTGGCTAGGACACAATGGAATTTTGCTCTAGCTCTGGCTCTCTCTCGCAGGTGTTCTGTACAGGAGTTGAACCTAACTGATGTTGATGATGATGGAGCTAAAGCACTAGCTTATGCACTTTATCAGAACACAACTCTCAGGAAAATTGCCCTCTTTTACTCTTGTATTCACCAATGCAACCGTCTTGTTTATGATACAACTGCAGAGCTGATACAGGGCTCTTATGGCTAACTTCACCCTTCGAGAGTTTTCTCTTTCTTATTTTCGAACAGGTATTATAGGAAATGCATTGTGTGTAAAATTATTGAGGATGCAGCTGTCCCCCAAGAACTACAGCATAATCATTGTCTTCAGAATTTATCCCTGTCCCATGTACAGATCAATAGGAATGCAGCTGTAGCCCTGGCACATATCATCCATCAATGCTCTTCTCTTCAAACCTTTTCCCTATGTGATTGTGAAATTGAAGATGACGGAGGTTTACACATATTTCAGACCCTTTGCAACAACTCAACGTTTCAAACCATGGAGCTTTCTAATATCAGAATTGATTGTAATACAACTAACGCCTTAGCAGAGCTACTACACGGCTCAACACTTCAAGAATTAACTGTTTTGCTGAATGGTGACATGAGTGAAAATCATGCCCAGCCTCTCACCATACAATACCCTGCGACTTAAACCTCTCACACAGCTAACTAAGAAGGGCTATAGCCTGGCATGTCTTCACCATAACAATACCCTGCAGACCTTAAACCTCTCTCACAACAGCATAACTAATGAAGGAGCTATAGCCCTGGCCAATGCTCTCACCAAACCCGCAGACTAAAAACTCTCACACAACAGCATAACTAATGAAGGAGCTATAGCCCTGGCCAATGCTCTTCACCATAACTGTACCCTTCATACCTTAGACCTCACACAACAGCATAACTAATGATGGAGCTATAGCCCTGGCCAATGCTCTTCACCATAACTGTACCCTTCATACCTTAGACCTCTCATATAGCATCATCACTAATGATGGAGCTAAAGCCCTGGCTAACGCTCTTATCGATAACTGCACACTTCAGTCCTTAAATCTCTTGTTTACAGGCATTGCGGATGAAGGAGCTACTGTCCTGGCTGAAGCTCTGAAACACAACTCTTCACTTAAGAAATTAAACTTGTCACGTAACCATATTTATACCTCTGGAGCTACAGCTCTAGTCCAGGCCCTAAACCACAATTCTTCCTTGCAGGAGCTTGATCTGGGATATAATTCTTTTCCTTGCTGTGTTGCTGAAGGATGTCCACGTATCCAAATGGATTTTCTCTCTTGCTGAACAAATTGTACAAGCTGTGACACACATCCATCGTCCCCAAATCTGTTTGACGACCCTACCTTGGCATTGTTAGGAGTATCCCACACAATGTCCGCAGTATCCAAATGTGGAGCATAAAGTCTTTTTTTGCATTCTTTAAATTGGTCTGAAGGGATAGTAATTCTACCACAGTTAAAAAAGACGAGAAGATTATGTAGATGCAGTTTTTTTTTCGAATGAAAGACAACAACATTATCGCTGAATATTTATTCACATTATCATTGTTATAATTTTCCTTGTTACTTCATGCACTTGACTCTTATGAAGTAGCAAGGTCTTATTTACATTTTCTGTTGCTGCCATTGTATTCTTGGCATTCACTTGTCTATGGTTTAAAATGGTTTAGTACAGTTTATATAGCCCCAGACAATAGGAATACAATGACCGAGCGCATGCTGACAGAATTAGGTGCTTGCGCTAAGGTGCTTGGAAATGTTTGTAGTTGTATTGTTGAGTAATAATTAAAAGCACTAAAGTGAAAACCCTCGACGGTAAACTAGCGAGTTGTAGCATTGCTGTACGCTGGGCCATGCGTCATCAACGGAGCCAGTAACACGAGTCTCACCGTAACACAGGGTAGTTGCATTAGCGGTTAGAGCAATAGCTCAGGTGTTTCAGAGGCTCTCATATTTGCTTTATTCAATTATCTGCTCTTCTGTGTTCCAATGCTCTTGCCAGATGTTTTATAGATGGGAAGGCAAGGCCGCAACCACAAACTGCTCGCCACCTGAACTATTATGCTACATTGCGAACGTACCTTGCTCAGCATGTTTATCGTTTACAGAGATCAAAACTGACAGGCCATGGATCGTATATACAACCAACGTGGCATAGCGCATGCTCCGGCGATTAATTGACATAACGCGTACGCGCTCCTGCTGGAGAGGGCGCGTGCGCGATCGACCGCGCGTTGGCTTTTTCGCTTGTTTTCACGCCATATCTCTGGAACGCAGTCGTTTCGGGAAAATCGCCACGTTTATATCAATCTTCTCGTCGTTCACAACCGGTTGGTGCCACTCATTGGCCGCCTCGTAGCCTGTAGTGCTAGAACTCGCGCGGACAGACGTACAGACAGACAGAACGACTACTGTAACCCTCGCTGCGCATGCGCGCCGAGGGTTAATAACAAATAGTAATTGCAGCACCAAAGAAAGGTCCATAACACAATGAATATAGGCTTTTAAACAAGGAATTCTGTGCTATAGGTTAGTACTCTTCATTCCATCATAGAGAGGGTTTGCAGCAATGTCCTCCTTCTCTCCTCCCTTTATGTGCTCATACACTGGGTCATCAAACTTTGTTATCATTGTTATCGTTCATGTTGGCATATGTGAGTTCATTGGGATCGATACTGGAGAAGCTGCCACTGCGTGAGGAGTGGGTAGAGTGGCGGTGTATGTCGGTCATGGTGACTAGTGGTACTGACGGTGTGCGGGAGATGTTTCCTGGCTCAAACGTGGTGGAGGTCTTGGTGTCAATGTCGTAGTCAAAGATGCCACTTCTACCTGTTGGTGTCATGGATGATACAGTGTAGGGCACTGCTAGTGAGCTCTGTCTGGACGGCCAAGAGAGATCATTGGGTTCACTCTCCCTGTCAATGAGCAAAATTACCAATTAACATTTTAAAGTTAGGAAAGATTTTCACAGTAGCTAAAACATTGTGAAGAACATACCTGTTATCTTTTCCCTTATTTCTGCAACAAATGCAACAAACGGCCACCGCCAATGACAATGACAGCAGAAGGATGATAATGTTTGCTCCAACCACTGCCCCTCCAATTATTACTTCAATTGGTTGGCCGTCGTTTGGGCTGGATGTAGTTGGAGACGGAGGGGTCTCACCCATCACACACGCTGGTTGGATATCGAGAGTCTCAATTTCTAAGTCACATGTTCGGTTTAGGCCCAATCTATTCCCTTAGAGGATGAGGCCTCCATCAAATAGATATGTCACTAAGGTTAGGATAGGCAAGTGTTATGCTTCTTACATTGTTTTTTTAACTATTGTATATTCGTCCCTCACTTTGTCTGTATAATTGGCAAGCGGGAGCGAGCTAACCTAGTGGTACGAACTGCATCAAAGCTACGCTTCACTCAACACGGATCAAGGTGCCCCCTTGAGAAACTTCAAAGGTAAGCCGTGAAACTGGAGGAACACATTAGATTCTATTTTTCAGGTCAAGTAAGTGCACCACAAACAGAGCTATAAAAAAACCTGTGGCAGTGCATTATTTCCTCATACTCACTCCTCTCCCTAAGTCAGCTGGGCAGAATGTAATGGCCAACATAATCCATTATTGGCGAGCGGAAGCGAGCTAACCTAGTGGTCCGAACGGCGCGATTTTTCTATATATATGTATGTATATATATATATATACAAGTGGAAAAATCATTTCTTCAAAATGAAGGGGGATGTAGGGATGGCGTAAATTATGAAAAAGGATGCCAACAAGAAGATGCTTTAGCCGACAACAAAAATCATACATCCATCCCTACATCTTTCTTTCGTTTGCTCTGTATCAGAGCGTCGGTAGACGCCCTTAAAATGTGTGGTTACCTGTCATGAAGTAGCTATGTAAGATATAATTATACATAATTCACAACATAATATGATCACAGTAGAGATGTGTGAGTAAAGAAAGATGTAGGGATGGATGTATGATGTTTTTGTTGTCGGCTAAAGCATCTCTTGTTGGCATCCTTTTTCATAATTTACGCCATCCCTACATCCCCTTCATTTTGAAGAAATGATTTTTCCACTTGTTCCACTTATTTTTTTAGCGCATGCTAAGGCCCACCGGCCCCACCCCTTTTCGCGCAGCAGAGCGAGGGGGCCGCTGCGTATTATAATATAGTAATGACGCGCGCGCGCTCTGGTTCCCCCCGCCCAGGCCCCAGCTAGGCCGGGTGACGTAATAATTTCCGCGCACTTGCGCGCGCCTCTCGTATATAGGCGCATGCGAGACAAAATAATTATTATTCAACAATGCATGTGATTTGTTGTGCAGGAGAGTTCACTCTTCTGAAGAGGTCCATCTACCCAGCTGAAGTAAAAGGTGGAGGCCAAAGAGGGTAGTGGGTGTGTAGTAGAAGCTGTACATGGGGTCCAGGTCTGACAAGTGGACAGCACCTTAGAAGATAAAGATGGTAAATGAGTGAGGAATGCAACCCAAATTGGCTAGGAGTATGCTTTACAATAGCTATGTCAGCAGTGGTGATAGGGGCACAGGATGTGTAAAAGTCAGTGATAAGCGCTAGGGAAAACACTTCAGAGCCCCACCTGCCAAGGCTCCGGGCAGATAATCTGATTACAGTGATGTCCTTTCCCCTGACAGTCACCCTCCCCTGTACGGTTGGAGACACCAGGCCCCTTAGACAGAAAATGACAGCCTTCAGAGACCTGCAGAGGTAGAGAGCTTCCCAGGGGAAAACAGATTTTTTTAAAAAGAGGAGCCTGTATTATAGTAACCCTATGTGAAGGTGCATGTAGGAAGGGTGCTGATAATATACTGCATTCAATATTTAGGTGCACTGATATTTGGGTGAGTGTGTGTAGCTTCAATGTAGTAGTATCCCAACAGGTGTAGCTACTGCACAGTGCACCCCTCAATGGAGGAGGATCATATTACTGACAGAGCTAAGACCTGTTTCCTGAGGGATTATTCACTACTGTTAGCATACAACACAATTGTCAGTGTACAGACATTCACCTCTAACAGTGTGCTACCCCAACTTTGTGATGCAGTTACAGTCCCCTAAAACCTTGTGGTAAAAGACAGTGCAGTTTCCCTACACTTGAAACCAGTCAGCTCCATGAAGTCTGGAGACTTTAGGAGAGTGGTTAGAACATGAACTGGGGAAGCCACCTCATATAATTGCAGGGACCCACCCTCTTCTTCCCAACATGTTCAGAAGTCATGTACAGGACATGTAAATCACACTTTATACGTGGTTATAGCATGAAATGGGAAGCCACCTCGACTAAATTGCAGGGACCCACCCTCTCCTTCCCCAATATGCTCTGAGAGGTATGTATAGGCACATGTGGTTACACTAATTATTCCTTATGGAACCAACAACATGAAGTAGTTTCCTGTGTGCAATAGATACATAGACCTCTGGTAAATGTCATCCATCAGTTGTTCTGTCGACATCATGAGGACAGTACCGCTGCCACTGCCCAGGCTGCTGGCTGTATGAAGAAGACAGGGGTCTGGAGCAGGTGGTCCAAAGACAGCATCTCAATGTCAGTTCCCCAGGCCCTATCTTGGTCCATACCTGTGGAAGCTATATAACTTTGAATACTTCCATAGCCTTGAGATGGTGGCCTAGGAAATATTGTGCATTATTTGTCATGTGGTCAAGGATAGCATGTCGTACACCAATATGCTTGATCCTCAGACCCTGTCAGAATGTAAGATAATGCCCTAAAGAGGCAGTACCATCTCCCTGTACGCGTCTCACACTACGCATGTCTGGACGTGTGAGGGGGACCGTGGATCCTCCTGGTCTTACTGGTGTTTGTGTACAATATTGGAGGCCCAGCTCTTGGCATGCACTTCCCTGCCACTGTACATCTACAGAGTGGAAATTGAAAGGGGTAGCAGCAGGTGTTCTGTACCTGTAATAACACAGTCCTCATTTTCCCTTGCAGATGTGGGATTGACCGTGACCTTTTTTGCACTTGTGGGGACACAGTTTTGTCTACAACCAGTGAGCTTCCTCTTTCTTCGAGAGACATGTGGTCTATCGTAGAGAGGAAGGTCACGTCTATAGGTTTTTCTGAGGCGGTTTACTTCCTCCAGGGAACTCACACTAACACTGATGGACTGGGGATCAAAGGCTGTTAGAAACAGACCATCTAGTGACCTACCCTGAGATAGAGCCACTTATTGCCAGTTGCCTAGTAGCACAATAATCAGCTACCCACCCAAGAGGGTGAGAAGGTGAGAATATCCACTGTGGTTAGGGTAATAACTAAGGAATGGTGTGATATCCACTGTGGCTTCGGGTTGGGTATCAATGTTTTTATGTGCAAATGCTGACAGATCGAGGAGGGAGCGAATCGCAGAGGCTTTCCGTTGGAAGTCGAGGTTTGGGATTCTGAGACGCCGCTGAAAGACTCCGCGTCCAGAAGTAGCGCTCCTGGGTCTTCATCGAAAAGGCGTAGGCTCTCGCTATCCTCTGACAAGAAAGAGGGCTACATGCGAGTCTGTTAACACTTCACCGTCAGCTAGCAGGTTGGCCTTAACCACTCCTATAACACACCTTTCATGGCCAGTTGTTAGCGCTGCGCCTAAGTGTATCTAGCCTTCTTTACTCTCTCTCTTTTGGCATAGCAGTCATACTTCCTGGAATATCTTAGCTTGGTGCTATGGTGTGAGGCATGATATTCCCGAAACAATGCCTTCATTCTTTCAGGGTTAGCTTTATACGCTGCCTGGGTAGCTGCATGCTTTTTTGCAGGGTTTGCATCATAGCGGGCTTTTGCAGCAGCTTTTCGTTTTCTTTATATGCAGCCTATCAGCAATTTTTCTTCAAAGGGTGCAAATTATACAAGCCCTAGATGCTGCCTTTTCTTATCAGAATCAGCCAAATATAGGGCCCTAACAACAGCCATCTTTTTATCAGGAGGCCCTAACAGCTGCCTTTTTCTTTTTACGATCAGCATGATAGGAGGTCCTAGCCACCCGCCTTTATCTATCAGGTCTGACAATAAAGAGATCTACCTCTATCTGTTATTTCCTCAGAATTCAGCACATAATATCTCTTTGGCACATGCCCTCTTTTTTCTTGGGGAGCGGTCAGGATTTCCCAGCGAAAAGCAAATTGAACTTATCTGACAGGAGCCCAGGTGTTGTCGTCTTGGCTGTTGTCTGGGTGTTGTCCTTGCAGTGACAACTATCAGCAACCTGTGGGTAGAGGGCAGTGGGAGGCACAAGATCTCAGACGAAAGAATGAAAAAAGCGGGTGTGGTGTTATCAGTATCAACGATTCACGTTGCAGCTACAGGGCAGCTAGAGGGCGAGGTGGAAAAGTGAGGGGGAAAGTGGGAACAGGTACAACAGCAACACAGTTGAGACGGTTTGCAATCAGACGAAAGAACCGGGAGTGATGTTTTCAGTATCAACAACTCACTCGAGGGCGAGGTGGGAAAAGTCATGGACAGAGTGGGAACAGGTATTAACAACGACAGTAATGCAGTTGAGACGGTTTGCGACTCCGGACCAGTGCACCACGAACTACAGAAGAGTGCTTCAGGCCAGTGGGTACACCCAGGCACGAAGGAATGTCGTGTAGCACCTCGAAATAAAGAGCTAATGGCAATAGGCAAATGAGAGACTGAATACAACCATATGGAAGAGTTTGCAGAGCTTACATTGAAACGAAATGAGTAGCTGTGGGCCCCACTCCAGTCGAAGGTAGTACTAGCATGGGCCAGTACCAAAACACCGGACGGTGTGCCGATGTAACGCATTAACCTCAGAGGTAGAAAGTTAAGATCATACGCAATATGTTTTTGTAATATCAACACTTACTTGTGAAATCAGCGCGGTACACGAAGTTCATTAGCAGAGCGAAAGAGACTGACACCAAGTGCCGACGTGTGGAACAAGGACAGATAAAAAAACTGATCGTAACCAGACTCGGCGAAACGGGC